ACATTACGGTGTCAACGACTTCTTTCTGAACCACAAACCGCTGTTTGTCCAGGATGAATGGGGACGCCACGGGTGGGCACCCCGTCGGATGGAACCGCGCGTACAACCGCCGGAAACGTGTCAATTTCGTCGAAATGGTTCGAGGTTGCTTGAATAAATATATCGAATTTTTCGAAGGAAATTTGAATTCTTTTTTTTATTAAGATTTGCAGGTTAAAAGATTCTGTAAAAGTATTTGTCCATTCGATTGAAAGGTACATGTCCATCATGTCAAAAAAATTAGTTCATTCGAAAAGCTAGATATTGTCTTAATAAAACGAAACAAATGTAGGTAAATATATTTTATTGTAACATTTGCAGTCCAATGGAAAATTCGTCAACACCGTTTAAGACCTTAAGAACTAGACCCCTCTAACAAAGCATCCAATATGGCGGTCGTCAATAAACGTCAAAGTCACTCACACGTCCGTGAAACGTTCCTTTCCAGGAAGCTTCTTCGACGGTTCCCGCACGTCGACTCTTACCAGTTGTTGTTACTGTTTTTAACCGTCGCCAAGTGTCCCCTGGCCCGCGGAAGTGACAAGGAACACAGGAACAGAAGGGTTTTCCACGATCGCACATGGGTGGTGATGGCGGCGCTGTACGGCAAGGATCGTCCCACGTCAATCAAAGACAGAGGACGGTTTCTACAAAGGAAACGAGGTCCACGTTCTCCCGTCCGAGACCCCAGACGGATTTCAACGAGGCAAAGGGATGCGCCGAGAAATCTGGCGGACACTCATTATTTTAGGGAGGCAAGGTCTTGTTTTCCCAAAAGTCCTTGGCTGTCTGAGAAAACAAGCTGTTCTTTGTCCACTTCGCCATACGATCGGGTCCTCTCCGCGGCTCGGGAAATCCTGAAAAAATAGTGTACCACAAGAAATATGCATCCTTGAGCCCGAGAGTAGAAAAAACTATCGAGTCATATACCTATTTTCGTCGGTTATTGGTCCACTTTTTATTTTTATCTCGTCACGATTGTAATATATTCATAGATTTTTCTAATATGTATCGGTAGGTTCGAAAAGACAAATAAAATCACAGTGAGCAAAACAAATCTTTATACAGTCCCAAATAGCATCTGACGCCTTGAAGGTGGCTTAAAGGCGTCTTAGACCTAAAATAGGCGTCTTTAAGGCGTCATGTGCTACATATCTGGGAGTGAAATAGTATATTGTTGGCAGTGAAATTATTATTGTTAATAAGCTGTATGGTTTTGTTGATGCGTTATTAAAGACAGAGTGAACAACAACAGGTATACATTTTAGCGATGTCTAAATAAACGGTGGATTTAGTGCGTGTAATTTTCCATGAAATTTTAACCAAGTGGGCCGAGGTTTGTTTCATTTTCCGTTGAATCTTGTAGATGCCTTAATTGGGCAAACAGATTTCTGTTTGAGTGTTGTCTTTGTAAATTCAACCACGAAACTCGATATTTCCATAAACATCCGCAGTCTATAGACTAATGCCTCCGCCCCTTCCTTTCTTTTTTGTAGATTATGTATAACCTGAAATTTTGTCCATTGCGCAGGAGTTCTCCTATTCTTAATACAGGAAATACGTTTCTAATTTTCTGAACTTCTTGAACGCGTGAAGAACGAGATTCGATTCATTGGTTAGTATTAAAACATGTAGAAAATACAAAGTGAACGCGTGAACAGTACGAAAATCGAGAAATTTATGGACAATCGTAGTATATCGTTTTTCGCATATGTACGTAAAAAAAAAAAAAAGCTCTCGTCTACCGATCGTGTGATTGACATAAACCTCGGCTGCATCTAAAACAGCATTAAATGAATCGACAGTCATTTCCGGGACTCATTTATTACCCGCGGAGCTACTTGTACCTGCATAATAACAACATAGCGTTTCGATTGCTTGGGCCTCGCGTGAATGGAAAACCTTATTAACGCTCGTGTTCGAACGAGTTCGGCGTTTAGACGCCCGTCGGAAAAATCGATTTATGGCTCTCGCATGTTTATGAACGCCTCCGCCGTACGAAGAATGATAGGAGAGAGGGTACTTAACAACAGAAGTTGGATAAAGTTTCACGACGATGTATATACCATCGCCACACGTGAATCCTATACATGTACGGGAACGGGTCAGGAATGAAGGATTTCTACCTTTATTCGAGATCGACAAGATAAAAGCGAGAGAAGTGGAGATTCAATCGGGTACGAATTTTTCGCACAATATTTTGCCGTACGTTCATTAACAGTCGTTAAGCTGAATACTTTATTAATATTGCGAGCCGGTTCCGCTACTTTACGACCTATTTTAAATTCCTACAATAAAACCGTTCGAATTTGTTTCTTGTCCATCTTTATTTTGACTGTCCAGAGTCACGAAAACTAAGCAGTGAAAGCAAAAGCATTACCATAGGCGAATAGAGTGAACTTAGCGCATCAAAATGATACATAACTTTCTTCTAAACTGAGCGGTGAATTTGAAAATAACAAAATCCGCGATTATTTTTGCACCAACCTAATATTTTCGAGTGTATTTGAAAAATATCCGAACCGAGTCTCTCGACGTGAGTTTTTTGAAAACGAGATTCAGAGACAGCTCTGGGGCCGATCGATTCTCCAAATCGCGGGCAACAACGTATCGACACACACGGGCGGCACGGTACGCCCCGTCGCGATACATACGTGCGTACATACGTCGACGAAATTCCAGCCAGCTGCGCGTGCGGTCACGGTAAAACGAAATATTCATAGAGGAACAATTAAATAGCCGCCAATCCTAGAATTTAACGAGCAACGGGATGAATTTAACGTCCGTCTCGGGATGGATTTGTCGGATTCGGTTGCGCATCCCCGCGCGCGCGCGCGCGCGGCCACACGTTCTCCCCTGGTGCACAGTAGATAGAAGAGAAAGAAGCATCGTCGACGCGCACGGCGACGGGCCAATGGGAAGCCGGGATGGTGGTCGTGGCCGTGCCCAGCGTCCAATGGGACGGTCGGTCTCGTAGCTGTCAGCCGTGCCACGCCCCGGCCAATCGGCGATCAGCTGCGCATGACAGAGTGGCTCGGTCACGGTGCACGCCGGAGCGGCAGTCCCTTCTGGTGCGTGCGTAGGAGAACGTCTCTCTTTCGCCCGGTCGCAAAGCGAGAGGGAGCGTTTCGTTATCTGACGTTTCCGTTGTCGTTGTATCTATCTGACGTTCCACCACGCATTTTCGAACTGGTTCTTTCGCGACGGCCAGTAAGACGCTTCGGTGTGGTACGTTAAAAACCGACAATCCGCGTGTGTGTCGTGTCGTTGTCGGCCGGGACGCCGTTTCTTGAATCCTGCGAGTGATTTTCATACAAGTGCGAGGAATCGCCGTCGACCAATCAAGTGCGTGTACTACGCTTAGCTCTTTTTCGTCCGTTGAAAATGCTCTTCGTGGTGTTGTTTTCTCTACCGAGAGAATGCAGAACGACAGTCGATAAAAGGCCTGTACTGAATAGGGCCACTAACAGCGACAAGGAAAACCGAGGGTGAAGGATCGTCGCGGCACAAGAAGCGAGAGAGAGTGAGAGATAGAAGGACAGAGAAAACGGACTATTTAACACGGCTCCTAATAATAGACGGCGCGCGTTCGTACGCGAGTATACTAAGCGCCTATAAATACACACGTACCACGGGGCCGCGGAAACACGAGCCCGTAGATTTCACGCGCGTTGCAACCTGCCACGAGGAGAGATAGAAAAGAGAGACGCGACCCGCGAACGGTGGGTGGTGTGCCGCGAAGGGAAAAGAGGGAGAATAATCTTGTTGAAGGAGGGCGCACCTGGCGCTCTGAGAGAAACTTGCCATAATCGGATCTAGTCTTAGGAGGCAGTAACGCAAGATAATCGGCCGGCCACGGTGGAACGGATAGAGAGAGAGAGAGAGAGAGAGATACAGCGTATGTGAAAGAATAACGAAAGAACAGAGACGGGAAACGTGTGTGCGCGTGTGTGTGTGTATATATATATGTGTGGTGCGTGTGTAGCAATCGGTCCACCGACCGCCGCCGCTGGTGGTACCAGTCTGAAAGCAGATTAGAGAGAATAACCGCACCCGTAGTGAGATTTTATTATTTCACGGGTATACCCTTTCTTTTCCATCCCGTAACACGAGAAACATTTCATCCCAGCGCGCCGCGTAGTCGTGTCGGTCGACAGTACGAGAGAGCTTGCAGCCAAGGCGCGCGCGCTCTCTGTCTCTCTCTCGCGCTCTGGCCGCCTAAAAATATCTCTCCTTCCTGCATATTCCGGCCGCGGGTTTACCTACGCTGGTCGTGAAAATCTCCTCGCCTCTCGTTGTTCCCGCCGTCTGACGTGCACGTTATATACACAGAGAGAGAGAGAGAGAGAGAGACTGTTTCGTTTCTCATCATCATCGTCGTCGTCGTTCCCCTGCAGTTCTGAATCTAACCAAATCCATCGTGCGTGTCTGATCACGAGTGATAATACGGTTCACCGAAATCCAGCGCGGATATAACCTCAAAAACATTGGACATCGCGTCGAACGACTCGTATCGGCAAATAGGGAGCAGTTACGCGTACGACCGTAAGAGAGGGATGCCTCGCGTGATATCGTGGCCTACGATAGGGTATCGTGGATGACCAAAGAGAGGTATGAGGATCATCATCGCCATTCGGGAGTCTCGAAGTGGCCCGCGAGCAGCAGCATCTAGACACCCGCCGTCGGAACGATTCTCGATTCGACCAGCTCATCCCGTCCGTCGGCCGTGGTGGAACGTGCGGCATCGGGCGAGGATTCCACGCGAGTAGCAGCAGTGATTACGGTTGGAGGAGGATTCGATAGTCCCGTGTTAGGGGACCGTGTTATTATTGTGTGCGTGGAGGGACACACACAGTGCGCGAGGGACGACGAAGTGCAAAGAGGAGAAGTGGTTCACAGTGGAGGGTGGAGGAGGGAACGGTGTGCAAGGGGTCACAGCCGTGGGCCCCGGAGATGACGCGATGATGGCCTACGGGGCAACCACCGGGAACGGAGGCGCGATGGGCCCCACCTCGGGTGGCACGGACGTTTTGGGATCGGCCGGCGATTATAGCCCGCAGGGGACACCGACGCCCCTCACCGGGCACGCAACGGGGCCCGTCGAGGCGGCGAGCGCGTACGGTCCCGGGACCGGGCCCGCCAGTTACAGCCCCCAGGATAGTCCAGCGAGCTCCGCCGGCGGCGGCGGCGGAACCGGGACCAACGGGCAACTGCCCAGCTTCGGATTCACCCAGGAACAGGTCGCCTGTGTTTGCGAGGTAAGCCGGCCCTTTTTGTCTGTGTGACGTTTTTGGTGTTTTGCTTGGAGATTGAGCTTGTGTTTCTGTCGCGGGTAAGAGTGCGAAGGTAGTCGAACATTTTTCAGATACGTATGAAATTTAAGTATGTTATTCAGAATCGAGGAATTTAGTCGGAAATAATTAGTAAAACGGTCCTTACCGGAAAGATTGCTTGCCGGGTACCGATGGATCGTAGGGGATGAGCCGAGGAGGTTATCACTAGACTGGGGATGTTTATGCATTTGTAGAAGAGTTTAACCCTTGCAGTACGGTTTTTTATCAGAGTGTTAAAAACCGTATTTAACTCATCGATTTTGGAATATAATATAAGCTGGGTGTTGTTCATACTGAGTCGTATAAAAAATGCAGGTTTTTTTTATGATCGCGGTCGAAAGTATGTTTGAGAAAGAAGGAAGCAGAGGATTTCAAACAGACCCAGGCACCACTGTCTCTAAGAACATTAATAACGTCCGTACTTCAAGGGTTAAGTATTTTAAATTATGAAATAAAATCTCAGTATCATGCACTTGTATTGATGGTATATCACAGATTTCAATATGGATTTAAAAGTTTATTAGTAAAATATATCATTATTCGTTTTCTGTCTCTTCCATCTGATGGAATTCAAGATGTTCAGCATTGTTACAAATCCGATAAAAACTCGAATTTCTTTCGAATATTTCAAGGGGATTCTTGATCAAAGGTCAGAAAAATAAAGTGTCATTATATATAATAACATTATGATGGGAATTATTATGTATAACTGTGACAAAAGTACAAAAATTGCAACGAATAAAACACGGTCTTAAACAGTTTCAAAACATTAAAATGCTCATGTGAATCCTCATGTGTACCCAAAACAACTGTGTCTCATCAACACCAAAGTAACCAATAGAACTCCGATACGATACGAGTGAAATTACGATAATAATTGTGGTGCTATTCGGCCAAAAATTTGCGACTACCTACGCACACACCCCGAGGCCTGCTGATTGGTTAACCAAGAATCTTGCGCGCGGCGTTGGTTGGCACGATCCGACGGAAGGGCGCAACGCCGCCGGTTCTCCCCGGCGAGACTGGTCCGGGAGGGCCGCCTAGACAATTTTGCAACCCCGTGGTCTCTTCATAGTTTATAACCGCGTACTGTTTCGGTAGCGATGCGATAAAATTACACACATGAACCAAAACCGTCTTTAAACCCGTTTGGCCGCGACGAACGACTGCTTGAGGCGTCGGGACACTTAACGGGACACCCTTAACCCTAATTTATGCACCTCGCGACGGTATGACGAAACACTTGCCCTGGGATCCGTCCATACGTAGTGTGTATGTATCGTGCACAACATTGTACAGTGCCGTCGCGCCAAGATATTCGACTTAAGCGTGTTGTGTCACACCCCCCCTCCCCCCGGCTAATGGAGTTGATTTGCGTTTTTACTGCGACCGTAAATTGTTTTGCGTGCGACGTTTATGCTCTCCTCGCGTCGGAATCGTCCAACCGTGGAACACTCTAGCTGCGGTGGATTTAACCCTTTCCACTAATACAAACAGTCTGAACACTGAATTGTCTACGGATGGTGTACATTGTTGTCGCTGCGTCTGATTTTCGATCGAAAACCGGGGCCCCTTCGGTATAGAGTAAATCCTCGATGAGTGTTCGAAGGCTTCGCGGCGCTGACAAGGAATGCTCCTCAGATGTAACGCTGGTTTTTTTCACGAGGTTTAGCGTAGTGGTAGATCTTGGAATTCTGAAGCTATTTGTCTGTGTCTCCGAACACTCATCGCAGATTTACTGTAATATAACGTTTTTAACTCTGATCTACAATACCGGACAAATGTTTTCGGACAAACACCTGTTTTTGTGGTATTTGAATTAGGGATTCCATTGATGTTACATTGAGTGATCAACATTTGTGACCATATGATATATTGTCCAACTAACCTCGTTAAACAAATTGTTTTTTCTATTGAATATATCGCCTACATCTAGATACTGACATGTGGAGAAACAATGGGCATTGACGCTCCATTTTGATAGTAAACCTAAAAGTTTTATAACATCACCATAACAAAAAGCAGAAACAAAAACGTCTGTGTCCGAATTCATTTATCCCAGTAGTGTATGTAGGTTATGTTCGTCGTATCCTTTGCTTTGGTGGGCATATGGTAGTGATTCTCCAACAGTGAAAGGGTTAAATTAAAACCGTTGAAAAAGCTTCATTGACGATTCTGAATAGTGGAAGAATAATTCTCAGCGAAGGAAATACAGTGGAATTCCGATGATCCTGCTCGGATCTATCGCAATTCTACTGTATTTATCACGTTTGGTAAATCCAGTGGCGGATCCAGAGGGTAGCAATAGGGGCGATCACCCCCTCCCCCAAAAAGTAATAAAATATAAAGACATTATGTTACTTATACTTGTAAAAAAAGATTCAAAAATTGACTTACTCCTCCCCCCCCCAAAAAAAAAGGTTCCTGGATCCGGCAGTGAGTAAATCGTGAGGGAAAATCGCGAAGGAACGTTCGTCGTCAGGCACGCAATTTCCCGAAAGCGGATTACATGCACACCTCAGTGTAGACGTTTTAACTCCTTGCCCACGTCACATGGATGTCCTGCGCTTAATTTACGGGCAACGTTTCGCGTTTTCGATGAACTACCGACGACGGTGGCGTGGCGGTTGCCCCGCCGTCGGCTCGGAATGGAATCGTTTAACGGGTAATTACGCCCGGGCCTCGTAATAAGAAAGGAGGAGGAGACCCTTCGAGAACGGTTCTAAGGAGCGCGTTTACGATCGCGCGCCTCTCAATAATTCAAACGATCATTTAAATGCATACTTACACCCGGCCCCGTTTGACGTTTACAGTTATTAAAACCACCGAACGGTCGATGACGGGTCACTTGTGACCCGTCTGTGTTACATACATTCGACCGAATCACGATCCAGCGAAACCTGAAAAAAATGTCCAAACGATTTGCGGCGGGACACCCACGGTCCCCCGTGACATGTGACACACAGCGCCTCCTTAATTCGCGATTACACCGTGAGACGTGGGCGCTAGTTGTCTTGTATCATCCGGAACACAAAACCGTCGACTTCACACACACGTTCTCTCGGCAAAGAACGTGTGTTATCTCCGTTTCCTTTTTTTCTTCTTCCTTCCGTTCGCCGCCGGGTGCCGCCACCGCCGCCGCTACCTGTTTCGAGAGGTCGAAGACAAATCGATCCCCTCGAGTGTGTTTCCTCCTGGTCACACGACGATGTAATAACGAAACTGGGGAGGGGGGAGAAAGGTCGTCGAACGGAACGGCGGTTTTGGCCGACACATAAGCATAGTCCACGGTTGATTTGTCGTCGGATAATCTAGTGATTCTTCTCGGGATCGCGTTGCTCATTAACCTTTAGACTGCCGGTATTTTTTCCATAAAAAAGGTGATCTTTGTTGGGTAAAAATTGGTGTATGTATATAACATGTGCGCTGCACTGAATCTCGAGTTTTGTCAGTGTCCTAAAAGGGATACTCATGGCAGCCTAAAGGTTAAGGCCTGATATCGCAACATAGATCCAACCTCCCGTCCATTTCTCTCGAAGGGTGGGGGGACTTTATACGCGGCTCGTTTCTCATTATAACCCAGCGATTTCTCGCACCTCGTCCGTGATTAATCGGTCGTCAGGGGACGGTCGCTACGCGCGAAAACTAGACGGGGCACCCGACGCGGCGATGAAGAAATAACAACCGTGGCAGGTGGCGCGCGCGTGCGCGAGTCTCGTAGCTGGGGTATGTGCGATTCCGATTCGATTCGATTCAGAAGGTCGATTCTCTTGAGCACACGTCACTGGTCGTGTATAACGCATACGCTACGGCCAACAGCATGGGACCAGGTCTGATATAATTAAAGAAAAAGAAAAGTATTATTCTACAAAGAGTTAATGAAGGTAAGGTGTTTAAATTGATGTGAAGCGATTTGATATATATATATATACCATAATTTATTGTAACGGAATAATGAGTTACTGTTCCATCAATCGTGAACTCTGGTCCAGACTTTTGGCCGTTAGTGTACATGTTATAGATAGACAATGAAGTGTTACTCAAGAGAATCGACCTTCTGAACAATCGAATCGGAGTCGAATATTCCTACTCGTAGCTGACTTCACTCTGAATAGCCGGGGTGGTGTTCGTGGTTTTCCGGTAATTTTTTTCTTCTTCTACCCCTTAAGACGAGACTTTTTAGGCAAAGTGTGATCGAGACATGGAATCATTTATTCTGTCGAAGATTCGAAGTAAGGCCATGATTGAATCTTTTCCTTTTTGCTATGCTAACTGAACTATCGATGATGATTTGTCGAAGTTTTTATCGGATTACATGGATTAGGACTCTGTAGCTTGACGGGGTTTCTTTTCTGTAGTAGACAGTGAAAAGGTTAACCGCGAACACCGTGTGTAGACATCTGACAGTCTTAACGATAGACTGTCTGGCCGTGAGAGAGACAGGATGATTATTTGCATTTGTATGACTTATACTATAAGTGATTGGCCTAGTTTTTGACAACTCAACGTTATTCTTTACGGAGATCAAAATTACCAGGCATGGTAGGGAGACGTACTTTGCGATGATTACTTTGATCTTCTCTGACAAAGAAGTAGCAAGCATTAATCATAAATGTCTTGAAACATGGTAGATGTCAAGTTGATGGTTGTTGAACCCTTATAGTACCTTATAAGTCTACTGGGTACCGTGCAAAAATACGCGATTTTTGTATTTCTCGTAAAAATGAATATATTTTCACGCTTTTTCTAATTGTATTATTCCTGTCTAGTATGTTCTCCTATAGAATCTTATTTTATCAAAATAAAGTGTCATTACATCTGTTCAAACTATATTATAAAATGGGAAACCATATTTTTCGGAAAGTCCACAAAGCCGATAGGCTCTAAGGTACCAAAGGGTTAATGTATTTATACTAATAATTGCCACTCTATCCGTGTCTCGATTACACCCAAATTAAAAAAAATCGTCGCTTCGTACACCATGGTCGGTTCTTACCCGGACAGTTTTCCAAAAATCGTATTCCAAACGGTCGACCTCTTTTCTTTTTTTTTGGTCCACGAAAAATCATCCTTCGTCCGGTTGTCACCCCAGTCCTCGCTGTCTAACAAAACGAAGTGGATCTGGCCTCTCTCGATCTATGTATGTACACCGACACGTGCAGACTCGGTTTCCACTAGGGGAAAAAGTGGCGTAGGGTAAGGGCCTCCTACCATGCTGCTACCACTTGGTATTGGGAATTACTGAAATTTATGCCAAATTAACATTCGGTTTAACATTTATTTCCGAACTTGTCATAAATTTAGTAAGTGGTAGGAGACTTTTCTTCTACGCCACTTTTTCCTCTAGTGGAAGCCGAGCTTGCTCGTGGATGTACATAGCCTTTCGTTTTCGCGCGCGATCTAGGGAAACCACCAAGAACGAGATCTAGTCAATCGCGAGCCAAAAAAAAAAAAAAAAAACAAAAAAATAAACAGCAACACAATACAAGATACACTAGAATAAGAGGAGACCGGGATGAGTTCTGCCGACTAACAGTGTGCCCCCCCTGTCTATCGTCTTCAAGGCGATGGTGTCGTCTGTCCAGGTTCTCCAGCAGGCAGGATCCGTGGAGAGGCTAGGCAGGTTTCTATGGTCTTTGCCGGCCTGCACCAGGCTGCACCGGCACGAGAGCGTACTGAAGGCGAAGGCGATCGTTGCGTTTCATCGGGGACATTTCAAGGAGCTGTACAGGATCCTCGAGAGCCACACGTTCAGCCCGCACAATCATACGAAACTGCAGGCGCTCTGGTTGAAGGCCCATTATATCGAGGCCGAGAGACTGAGGGGAAGGCCTCTCGGTGCAGTCGGTTAGTATCAAAAGGACCAGTCAATGTGTGTTTCGCATTGAATTCTATACCATACTTGGAACGATAACAGATTACGGAAAATCCTAGATGAGCTGGGAGAAGGAAGACAGTTGTGGTGTCTCTATCTTTCATTATACTGTCCTGTAGTAATACGCAACTGTACGTCCGTAAGAGATCTGTGTAAGAGTGAAATAAGGATACCTCACACACTTTGTTCTCTGTCTAACAGGCCAGCTCGATTCCCAATACTCATAGTTATCGTTCCAGGGATGGTATAGAGTTCAGTGCGCAGCCCCATCTTTCCATGGATTAGCAAATTGCAAGTGGAAACAACCAATTAGTCGAAAATCGAAAATCGAGATCGATGGCTCGAATATAAATTTTCAGTCAAACGTAACCCTACTAAGCACGTACATAACAAGTATTCAAAGAACATAGCGCCATCTTTCCATTGATTTGACTAGAAGAATCGTTCTCAGTAACGGTCGACATCAGAGTTTCTGTTCCCTGATTTTTCGGCTCACCGGCTTTCCACGATTTCGATTGACACGCCACTGACGCAGAGGTTTAAAAATACGCCCGAAGGTTGTAACAACGATCTAATTCACCGGACGATCGTCAAGGGAACGTGTGTGATCGCGAAAGGAACAAGCGATTTCGCGCGGGAGAGGGGGATGGTCTTATTTCTGTCGCGCGTTGTAAACAGAGCAGAATGCGTTTTGACGAGCCGACGTTCCGATTAAGATCGTTCCATTCACGTTCGCGAGCAGATTCGCCATCGTCACCCCTTAGATCCCTCGCGACCGGTCTGAAACGACCAGTCGGAACCGACACGACGCGAGCATCCGCGGGACTTCCGGCTTAAAAACGAGCCTTTACGCTTCCGGGAATCTGTTTCGACGATCTTGTCCATCTGGACCGAAAATTGATGGGCCACAATGGGTTTCCTGGTCTGTACCTGCGAATCCCGATACCGTAGAATCGCTCCACATCGGTACAGAAAGTGAGGTTATGTTCGGGTAACCCCTTAAGTGCCAGCTAAAATTTAGGAAAACGGTCAAAAGAGTGTTTTTCATTTTATTATATAAATGTTTATGCACTCGTGGCAAGCATAGTTTTAAAAAAGTTACTTTTTGTATATATAATTAGAAACTATATATTTAGTCAAGCTATATTTTCGAGGATGGTCCAATTCACTCGTAATCTTTATTTATACGATTCCCAATAAAAATCGGTTCGGTTCTCCGTGTATCTCTCCTTCCCGTGGAACCGTGAAACAATGCACGGTATATATTTGCCCGTTGGGGATCGCGACGACAGAAATAAAATCGAGTTTCTGTGTTGTTATTGCCGTGCATCGTGCCGCCGTTTCGAAAATACCGCGCGCGGGATGTGATTTAGACGGTACGATGTGTTGTGCGCACGCCTTTACCGTATATCACACGTAATCCATCGTTGACGCGGGTTCCCCCTTGTTATTTAACTGTGGCCCCGTTTCTTCTCGCGAGGGAAGAAGTACTAAATACAGACTCCTCTCGATTATTGTCTATTTGTTATCCCCACTACTGGAGGGAGTACTTAACTCCACTTTTGTTATCGGGGCTCGGTCTTTGGGCAAAAAACGATTTTACAAGGTTCTGAAGCATTTCTCCTTATAAGATTATTGTCCCCGCGGAATCGAGCTCTGGGGGATAAAAGCAGAGGGCAACAAAGAGGTGGGGATAACGTCTGGACAATAATCGTGTAGAACAAGCCGACCGATAATCGAGAGTCGTTGAGTATCGGAAGACTCCTCGGCACTGAACATTAAATATTTCATAAACTAATGGCAGTATTCGAACAAACAAATTTAGAAAAACTGTATTTAAATAGTTTTCAAGTATGTATCTTGAATACAAATTGTGATAAAAAATTAAGTATAACGTAATTGAGGCTTTAATGGGTTAAGTTGTGTCGTGACTAGACTGCGGAAACACACTGTGAATGTCCTTTTCTGACTCCAGTAGTACTATTTTACCCTCAGCTGTATCATTGACCTTGAAATGTTCATATACAGAAAAAAAATCGTTCATTTGTATTTTCTCAACAAGAAACTTTCGATCGCCTTTTTTTCCTTTTGAGTTCCGGGTTAGATATCGATGGTAACATACGGACCAATTAACCATTTCGTCGAATGACCAAAAAAGGTGTGTTGGAATTTCCAGGGAAGTACCGTGTTCGACGCAAGTTTCCCCTGCCCAGAACGATCTGGGACGGCGAGGAGACGTCTTATTGCTTCAAGGAGAAGTCCAGGAGCGTGCTGAGGGATTGGTACGCGAGCAATCCGTATCCGTCGCCCCGTGAGAAACGGGAACTCGCGGAAACCACGGGACTGACCACCACGCAAGTCAGTAACTGGTTCAAGAACAGGCGACAAAGGGATCGTGCAGCCGAGCACAGGTATTTAATATGCGTACATACATACATACATACACTACCAGCCAAAAGTATGGCACCAGGTCTCTAAATTGCAGAAATATAAAAATATTTGATAAACCTAATCTCCTAAAACTGATTGGGAATAATTTTTCTGATATAACTGATTCTGTAACTTTTATTATATCATAACAGAATAATGAGTTACCGTTCCGTCAGTTGTGAGCTCTGATCCCATACTTTTGGCCGTTACTGTATTTCTCTTTTTTGGTTACGTGGCTTTCTTCTTATGCAGAGCGCAGGAACGTGAATTTTCACGTAATTTAGGGATATATCTCACGAAAATCGGAAGTTTCATATAACGAAATATATACCCCGTATTACGTATCTCGGCGAAAAGAAAGGTTAGGGGACCCGATGGTGTCCGCCATTTTTATTCTGCCTATGAATTCTGTCTGAAAGATAAATCAGTTAAGTTCGACAGATGAGAAACAAAGGGACAGAACGTATGATTGTAAATGTTAAATTCACTGAAATTGTTCACGTCGATTTTTAACATACTTCGGTTCGGATAATGAAAAAAGTATTTAAGTGGAATTGCTCTCTGCGTCGCCAATTCCGTGAGCCAAAATGGCGGTGACGTCGGGAATTCAAGTTTGGGAATCAACGATCAAACTAAATCAGCTGTCTGCTCGCGAAAGGAGTTAGACAAGCATGTTATTATATAACGTTTAGCAAAAACCGAAAACGACGACGCGCCAGACGGGGTTGGTCTCTGGTTGTTTTGAAACGGCCGTGGCTCGAAGAACGCCGATGGTGATATAAGCGTCGTTACAATAATATCCTGGTGGCTCTCTCTCTCTCTCTTTTTCCTCTCGAGAGTCTTCAATTTATTTATACGTATACAGGGTGTTCGATGAACAAAAAAACAGATCTATGACCTCGACATGCTTGTAATACTCACCGAGCCAACTGAAATACAGGCTCCTCTCGATTATTGTCCCGAAGTCGGGTCCGCGCCCGGACAATAATCTTTCTTCCATTTCGATACAAAACATTTATAGATCTATAGATCGATGTATATTTTCAGATATGATCCCTCTATACATCGTATTGTCCGTTAGTCATACAACCTTGAACCAATTGTACGTACATATACTTCTAAACCAATTCTTCTGGTTCCATTCAGTATGTCGCGAGGTGACTCATTCACATCGAACGCTCGTAAATGTAGAAAATTGTCGTATTCACATTGAAAGAATTTGATTTTTAAGATCTACACAAAAAATGTCACAAGACATTCGGAAATTGTTAACAGCCCAAAATGATTTATTTATTAAAAATATATTATTTTTATATTTATTTCTTAATTATTTTGTATACTTTTAATTATTTATATTTATTTATTAAACGTATACAAAAATAAAACTATTTATTTTTTCTTTAATTTATTTATTTGATACATGGTATAATTCCCATTAGAATACAAGAGAAAAACAAAATGGAAATTACAAGGCACTATAAACTTTTGTTCTTGAAGGTCCGAATAGAGCCAATAAAAAAATCAAGATTTTTACAGAAAGAATTCGCTTTTTCACAAGTGCGATAAATGAGATCAGAGACAGAAAAGTTTGAGTTGTATCCTTGTAACACATAATAATAATAATAATAATAATAATATGTATTTTTTTTTCTTCGAGGCTGTGTGGCCTTGTTGGGAGTTAATCGACACGCTGCGGCCTCCGGCGAGTTTTGATATATCCGTGGAATTCGTGGAGGGCGCAGGCGTGTGTGTAGGAGGTTTTCGTGTTGTTTGGAAGGTCGTTGCTCTATATCCGATTTTAGAAACGACCGAGCAAACTCGCAGAGACGGCCTCGTAACTGCGTAAACGCAAGGCAGCAGCAGCCGTGCGTCGCGTGATCGTCCTCCTCGAGATCTCGAACCGTCAAACATACACCCATTCGTCATTTAACTCCTCTTGCAATGTTCAATAAACAATACCGCATTCCTTGAATTAAATTGGGCTTGAATCAAGGAGACATATTTTTGTGGATATTCCAACTTATTTTAAGGGGATATTCTACTCTGCAGCCGGTCAAAAAGACGAACGAAAACCACAAAAATCAATAGAAAATTTTCAAATCGCAGTAACTTTTTAACGTTTTTAAGATATAATGAATATACCAGAGAAATGTTCAGCATGAAAATCTCTCATTAAGTCTCGAAAAAATTTAACAAAATCGCACGTCGCAGTGGAATACACCCTTAAGATGCAAAAAAATTCGTCGCAAATGATGTGTTCGATGTTTCAAAAAAATTGTTCAGGGTATAGAAAGCATATTATGTGCTTGGTTGTGGACGATCGGAACGTTAATCGGATATTAATTTTCACTCTATTCCGCGAGCCTGCAATTTTTCGTTCCGAAACGAGACCCGGTCGAGGGCACGGTAACACGAGCCGTCGAGGCTCGCTTAATCGAAGCTTTATTACGCGTTTGAATTCTCGACTGGCCCCGGGACGATTTACGTCCTGTTATAATGTAACCCCCCCCCCCCCTTTTGAAAAAATGTTTTACATCACGACATCGTTGATCTTAAATGCTACACGTTCCTCTTCGTCGCTCGAAATTACAACCATTCGATCGCGACGGCCATCTTGCGTGTTCCGTTTTATACCAATCGGATAAAAAACTATTGTAGATTAAAGTGCTCATGACAGAAATCAGATGCAGACTAGATTGAACGGTTTTACATTAACAAGACATTCTGGTATGTAATCACTACCGTTTATATACCAAAGTACAGGGAGCTCTTGATTATTGTCCCAAACTCTGTCCGTATGAATCTCATGTCATAATGTGATACATATTTCAATAGAAATGATATATTTCAGGCCACTTTTCACCCTACATCGGTAGGTACCTTGAGATAGGATTTAATTCTAAACCTACCACGATCAGTCAAACGACGCCATCAATTAGAAATATTCATTTCCTTAATACTGTTCATTCACCGATAAAATCTGTACCTTTCCTTTATAATTTAATTAATCATATTTTCCAATGTTTCAAATCGAAATCTATACATCCTAAAAGAAAGTATATGTAGCTATTAAAAAAAATCTAATTTTCCCGTGGCAAACATTAATATTATTGTTTCAAATTTGACTTTAGCAGTTACAAAATCTTCTCAACTGTTAATTGACTGTCGCGCTCACCCTGTATAAACTATATAAATGGGAAATCGCCCAAGTCAGGACTTCTTCGAACAATATTTTTCGCCAATTCTAGCGCAAAGGTCGCCCAACAATTGCGATAAATCGCCTAGTTTGGCAGTACTGCTCGAGATCGTCCGAATCTATAACGACTGTCCGAGACTGATCTGGCCCTCTAAATATTTATGGTGTCCACAGACTTTCTATGGACATCATAAATATCCAGAGAACTAGATGTACCGAGAGAAAGAAGGGAACGAGTAGAACCGGGTCGGTCCCTCGATATTTCGGCGCAAGTCCATCGATGCGAGTCGACGACGGTCACTGGACGGACGGGGTCGTTTCGTATTTTTTTTTTTTTTTCGCCAAGCGAGTTTTTCGCGAGGGAGGAAGTGGGAAGCACCACCGTGGCGGCGGAGGAGGCCCCTGTCCGGTACACACAGCCGTGTCACGCCACGGGGAACGTATCGAATTTCTTATGGCTTCTGTGTATTCCCATGAACGGAGACAGGGAAGGTCAGAGAGAAAACAGACGCGTTCGAGAGAGAGAGAGAGGAAAGGGATGGAACCATCACCGACGTGGTGGTAGCTTTCGTGTACGTATATATATATAGTCCTATCCGATGGCTTTGGGGGTATCGTCGTGGATACGCATGGTATCATTCGCGGCATATTAATTACAGGAAATCCCACAAAGCATTCATACCCACCCTCTACGGTGTGCGTTCCTCCCCCGTGGGTATAATTTGCTGGGCGCACAAACACCCCACGTGGGGAATATCGAGCAGAAGCATCGTTCGATCGATCGATCCCAAGAAACTTTTTAGGTCACTTCCCTATTCGAGTGAAATCTTCATCGGCTCTGTTACCGTTTTTTGATCGTGTATCTAGTCTAGAGATTCTATGAAATTCTGTTGAAAATAGAAAGTCATTTCTATATTTTAGATATTTTTACAATTTTTATATGTCTAAGGTCAAAAGTTTGTAAAAAGCGACCTTTTGGGTACCTAAAAGGGTTAACGGATTTCCACCCCCCTCCCGCCCCGCCCCCCCCTCGCAGAATCGTTCATCGCGACTGTAGCCCTTTTATACGTGTCTGGAGAGGAGCGATCTAAAAATTCCAATGGTGGGTCGAACAGACGTGTCCATTCAACACGGCCCAGCAAGCTGACGCAAATTAGAGCTGGATCACGCGTGCAGGGGGCGGTTACCGACACGGGTTGTGGTATCTGAGTGGGGAAGGGGGGCCCCTCTACGGGACTGGGGCGTCTCGTGGGCGTCTCGTGGTCGGGCAAAAAACCAAAGGGACATGCGACGGCGTAGGCTCCCTCGGGAGCTCTTATCGACCGATTATACCGGGGCCCCGTCGTTTAGGCCTGTGATGCACGGGGCGGTGGTGGGTTGTAACACGCGCGCCAACGTGGAACAGACGATTTATTCAAAGGCATCGCGTGATCCGAGACTTTACTGCTACGGGAGGCAATAACCTTGTACAATTCAACCCCCGTTGACTGTATTCGGTCCCGAAGCTATGTTTCGTACGGTTTCCGGGGATGTTTTTGGAACGAACCTCTTAGCTGTGTGAAGAAACAGCAAATTTTTAGGTTATGACGAGTATACTCGTCGTGGTAAAAAAGTAATTACCATTTGTTGGAAATTTTAGATATTTTTGAATATTTTCAGACTACTTGAGTAGACTAGTTCTGTTTTGTATTATTTTTCTAAATCATTTGTTCTTTTAATAAGAAAGTTGTGAATGTTTAAGTTTTCTGAATAATAAAGATAAATTTAAACAGTGAATTATTAATT